TTGAACTAATTAAGTAATATAAGAATAGAAACTAGAGAAGAAAAGTAACCAATAAATAATGTTCAATCCTATTTAATAATCTACTATTAATAATCTATTATTAATTATCTATTGTTCAACGTTTTTCTTTGTAGATAATGATTTGAGAAATTGGCTGACAAAATTGCTTAGGAGAACCTAAGCAAGTGATTTACATCGACTGGTGTCCACAGATACAAACAGGAAAGTCTTTTCATTGATTTCATTCAAATGTCACTAATACAATAGTACAATATAACATACATTCATGTGGCCAATACGAATATAACATACATTTATGCGGCCAATACAAATATAACATACATTTATGTGGCCAATACGAATATAACATACATTTATGTGGCCAATACGAATATGACATACATTAATGTGGCCAATACGAATATAACATACATTTATGTGGCCAAAAAGAATATAACATACATTTATGTGGCCCAAAAGAATATAACATACTTGTATGCAGCCAATATAAGATACATTTATGTGGCCAATATGAATATAACATACATTTATATGGCAAATACAAATATAAGATACAAATATGTAGTCAATCCAAATATAAGATACATTTTAATCTTAGCTGACAGTCAAATCAAAGTAGTCAGTCCATGATGTAAACAACAAGCTGTTTGAGCCAGTGCATGTCCTGAGGCAGTGCATGTGGTCTTAGTAAAAATGATGCTCTACAACCTTTAGTTTTAGTAATAACACCAAATAAATCTACATCCCCAGTAGCTAACATCGACATAAATCTACATCCCCAGTAGCTAACATCCGAATAAATCTGCATCTCCAGTAGCTAACATCCAAATAAATCTACATCTCCAGTAGCTAGCATCAAAATAAATCTACATCTCCAGTAGCTAACATCCAAATAAATCTACATCTCCAGTAGCTAGCATCCAAATAAATCTACATCTCCAGTAGCTAGAATCCAAATAAATCTACATCTCCAGTAGCTAACATCCAAATAAATCTACATCTCCAGTAGCTAACATCCAAATAAATCTACATCTCCAGTAGCTAGCATCCAAATAAATCTACATCTCCAGTAGCTAGCATCAAAATAAATCTACATCTCCAGTAGCTAACATCCAAATAAATCTACATCTCCAGTAGCTAACATCCAAATAAATCTACATCTCCAGTAGCTAACATCCAAATAAATCTACATCTCCAGTAGCTAACATCCAAATAAATCTACATCTCCAGTAGCTAACATCCAAATAAATCTACATCTCCAGTAGCTAACATCCAAATAAATCTACATCTCCAGTAGCTAACATCCAAATAAATCTACATCTCCAGTAGCTAACATCCAAATAAATCTACATCTCCAGTAGCTAACATCTAAATAAATCTATATCTCCAGTAGCTAACATCCAAATAAATCTACATCTCCAGTAGCTAACATCCAAATAAATCTACATCTCCAGTAGCTAACATCCAAATAAATCTACATCTCCAGTAGCTAACATCCAAATAAATCTACATCTCCAGTAGCTAACATCCAAATAAATCTACATCTCCAGTAGCTAACATCCAAATAAATCTACATCTCCAGTAGCTAACATCCAAATAAATCTACATCTCCAGTAGCTTACATCCAAATAAATCTACATCTCCAGTAGCTAACATCCAAATAAAACACACGTTCACGATTATCATTGTCCTTCACATTTTAACTCTAACAGTCACTAATCAGTTCTGAAGCTACTATTCTATGACTATAATAGATAATGTGAAGGTGTTTATTGACTGTGTTTGCATGTAGCCCAGATATGTACTTACTTAGGCTATGGGCGCTTTTGGCTAGCCAGTTATGTGCGAGTATTATTTTGAACACGGTATGTGCATGTGTGTTTCTGTATATGTGTGTAGTGTTTCTGTATATGTGTGAACATGTGCGTTAAATGTAAATTTCTGGGGTTGTAAAGTTTAGTGATAGCTGATTTGTTTCTCCTGACTAGAGATTATCTCCACTCCCCCGCCCCAAGTTACTTCCCCTGCATCAGTTTTAACGCTTTCTTCTATTCGCTACGTTAATAGAATAAAAAAAAAATCTGGGAAGTCGGCAAAGAAAGGGACAAAGGCAACGGACAGTTTATGGAGAACCGGTTTGCATTGGCTCAATTGTTCAATTGTAATCCCTTCGTACCTCGGGTTTCAAATGACAGCAAATAACCTTCTTTCCTAAGCTGCCCCTTCTCACTTCGACCTGATCTCGACCTGTGAAATAAAGAGATTGAAAAGATTTATTTCTGCTAGACACAATGACAGACGAGGACATGTTTCCGTGAAGACTTTGTAAGTCGTTTTAGTGAGTTATTCAGTTTGGTAGAGAGCAAGACCAATAGTTCTCTTCATTTAGGTTCTGGGTGAAACTGCATTTCTAGTCATTTACGTACTAGTCAACACTGCACTGATATTCATTTAGGTACTGGTCAACACTGCATTGATATTCATTTAGGTACTGGTCAACACTGCACTGTAGATCTCAATAGGAACTTAATGCTGTTTATTTGTTTTTTGAACATGGGTCTGTGAGTTTGTAGGTCATTATAAAAGTACATAACTCCCTCCAAATTATTCGTAAGTTTTGTTTATTTCGAAAATAAAAACTAAATGTTAGTCCCGCCCCTGAGAACTATGAGTTGTACTTAGTGCTCCAAGTATGGATGAATTATGGTGGGACTATGGGAATGAAGTACAGACAATACAAATAGAACAGATTAGTGAGACTATGTGAAACACAAACTGAAAATCGGCCGCCGAAATGGTCCACCCAGGCAGGTAAAACGACAGGTTTCAATATTATCAGAATGAAATTCTATCTTAGGCAAATGACAGAAAATAATGGAGAAAAAAGGTTAACAGGTCTCGTGTGGTGCACCAGCGGTCCATCAGACCAAAGGATAGGTGAAAGTGAATGTTGACTCCGATAAGTAATGTCTTATAATGAATATCTAATTGAACTAATTGTTAATTGTTGTTTTAAATTGTGTCCGACTTATATGATTTGTTCTTTTTAAAAAATAATTAACTTAAAAAAAATTTGACAAATAATTTACAACCGTTTGTATAAATGTGTTACCTTTAAAAGTGAATAGTTGTAAAGTGGTATATTTTTATGAAAAAAAAAATGCTCGCATAAGTGATTTAAAAAATTAAATTTTTCGCTTTCAAAGTAGCCGTTGCATCAGAAATTTGAAGAGTCTAAAATATTGTGATGTCGGATGTTCACTATCTTTTCTAGTTTACGAGATCTAAACGGGACGGACGGACAGACAGGCCACACAAAACTAATTGCTAATAACTTTTCCCCTTTCGGGGGCCGCTAAAAATAAACAATTGCTAATTAATTATTGATAAGTAATTAATTTGTTTGGTTTTAAAAAGGGAAATAAATGCTAATTGAGAGATGTGGCTGTATTTGTGAAGTTATTTCTACGTTTTTTCTCCTACTTCCCATTCTCTGATCAAGTTGTAATTTTCAAAATCATTTATAGTCAAAGACAATACCTGAATATATAAATAAATTTGCCAATCAATTAGTGCTAATTAATTAAAAAGGGAGCTTATTCTTGCAGTATTGAAATATATGCAGTAATAGATAATCTTTGCTGTTAAAAAAGATTTAAACAAAAATAGTTTTCTTGTCATCTAAATGGTGCCCTTCATCGCTCCAGGCCAATATTCCAAGCGAGACACTAGCCACAAGAAAGCCAACACATCATCTCAATCATGGAAGACATACGAGGAAGTGAAATAAATGAAAAATATAGAAAGAAGGAGAATGTCTAGAGCGACTTGCAAGCTGAAACATTGTTGTATTCTATTATCTATATAGGCTAGTGATGTAAGCTGTGTGAAGTTTAGACCAAATCACTGTAATTATCAAAGAACTTGACCTTTCATCTGGGCTCCGTATTGCTAGTGCTGAGCTCAGACTATCTTGCGTCTCTAGCTCTGAACTCATGCCATCTTGTATTGTGAACTAGTTACAAAAGTGAGATGGTGCAGATAAATGCATTTCAAAGGCTGTATTCACACAATTCAATCTCCATTTTCTTACCAACTGAAAGGCGCTATATAATTACTCAGTGTGTACTGGAGACAGAAAAGATTTCAGAGATAGTACAAATGTGTTGAAATGTTTAAATCCTATAATTACGAGTCAGCCCATGAACTGAAGTCGCTAGTGTATCATTCAAAGGAATAAAATAAAAAGAGCTGAAGGGATTTTTCAATTGATTGATTTTTGTCAGGAAAGTTCAAAGTCTGTGATTGTATCACTCCACCAAACAAATATGTTCTTCTAATACATCTCTGAATACATTCTATTGACTTTCATCTCGTCCTTCGTTATTGTCCTAGTCTAATTTGGTCCCAAGCGCAGATCCCCTTCTGACATCCAATAGTTTAAACTTATTTATGGACTAACCACTTGTTTTAATTACGCTAACTGTTTAATTTTACTTCAAATAATTGTTTTTAATAGGGCGCACTGGCAGGGTGGTAGAGCGCTTGACTTCTGAACCCAGGGGTCTCTGGTTCCATTATTGTGTAATGATTTATTGATATGTCAAGTCTATTCAAAATCAAACAGATTTGGTGCATCACATTCCTGCAGACTATTTCAGATGTCGTCATAATATAGTATTGACCACGTTTTACTGGCTGTTTTGTATCTCTGTCTTGATGAAGGTATATGTTGTTTTTTTTTGTTTGGTATATAATAGTTTATCAGTTATTTAAACCATACATCTAGCACCACTTATATCTAAGACAGGTTCATTGTAAGACAACGACTTAAGACCTACGAGAACACTATGAATATAATACAAGTTGCTATTCTCTTACTTAGAGCGTACACTTATTGTAATCCAGATTTCTTCTAGAACAGCCAGAGTTGTGCATCTTTGACTGAAATATCAGGACTACATGCTTCCCAAAGACGCAGTCAACAACAAAACTGGTTTTCCCATTGGTCTGGCAGATATTTCATATTCTGAGATCATTGTGAAAACTGATTTTGTACCCAGCTAGCAGCACACAGCCTATGATGACCAGCTAGCAGCACACATGTTATTAATGACCAACTAGCAGCACACAGCCTATGATGACCAGCTAGCAGCACACAGCCTATGATGACCAGCTAGCAGCACACATGTTATTAATGACCAACTAGCAGCACACAGCCTATGATGACCAGCTAGCAGCACACATGTCAATGATGACCAGCTAGCAGCACACATGTCAATGATGACCAACTAGCAGCATACATGTAATTAATGACCAACTAGCAGCACACATGTTATTAATGACCAACTAGCAGCACACATGTTTTTAATGACCAATTAGCAGCACACATGTCAATGATGACCAACTAACAGCACACATATTATTAATGACCAACTAGCAGCATACATGTCAATGATGACCAACAAGCAGCACACATGTTATAAATGACCAACTAGCAGCACACATGTTTTTAATGACCAACTAGCAGCACACATGTTATTGATGACCAACTAGCAGCACACATATTATTAATGACCAGCTAGCAGCACACATGTTATTAATGACCAACTAGCAGCATACATGTCAATGATGACCAACTAGCAGCACACTAGTTATTAATGACCAACTAGCAGCACACATGTTATTAATGACCAACTAGCTGCACACATGTTTTTAATGACCAACTAGCAGCACACATGTTATTAATGAACAGCTAGCAGCACACATGTTATTAATGACCAACTAGCAGCACACAGTCAAGGATGACCAGCTAGCAGCACACAGTCAATGATGACCAACTAGCAGCACACATGTTATTAATGACCAACTAGCAGCACACATGTTATTAATGACCAACTAGCAGCACACTTGTTATTAATGACCAGCTAGCAGCACAAAGTCAACGATGACCAGCTAGCAGCACACAGTCAACGATGACCAGCTAGCAGCACAGTCAATGATGACCAGCTAGCAGCACACAGTCAATGATGACCAACTAGCAGCACACAATCAATGATGACCAGCTAGCAGCTCACAGTCAACGATGACCAGCTAGCAGCACACAGTCAATGATGACCAGCTAGCAGCACACAGTCAACGATGACCAGCTAGCAGCACACAGTCAATGATGACCAGCTAGCAGCACACAGTCAATGATGACCAGCTAGCAGCACACAGTCAACGATGACCAGCTAGCAGCACACAGTCAACGATGACCAACTAGCAGCACACAGTCAATGATGACCAGCTAGCAGCAGACAGTCAACGATGACCAGCTAGCAGCACACAGTCAGCTTCCGAAGAACCAAAAAATAAGTTTGAATATGCTGAAAAGTATTTCTCGTAATGAAAACCTTATTAGGTTATACATTTTGACCATCTTATAATTAATATATACTGGAACAGCTTAGCACGTTTCAGTTTGGAACTGGCTGCAGTCAACTTTCCATATCTTTCTGTCTTATTTCTTCTCGATAAGTTTGAATAAAGACAGCACTAATGTTTCATTGCATAATTCTTTATTTTAAAACTCTGAATTGCATGTGAGACCACAATAGTAGAGACTTTATAAAACACATATTTCCTTTTTTTTTTCAAAACTACGAAACATCATTAGGTCTTCTTTCGCGTGTACTTTTGTGAAGTCAATTATGAAAGCATGAACAAGAATGTTCTTAGGTCTAAATGTACATTTAGAATTGAGACACATTCAGAGAGTAAAACTTTTTTAACATTAAGAATGATAATTGTTATCACAACGATATCTATAATACAAAGCAGAAATAAGGCGTATGTATTTAATATGTATGTATATCCTGAGTAGAACTTAAAACCATTTGACTAATCTTTATAAAACTTGGCATAAAAGTTCCTTGGGTACTAACTGAAAAGTAACGTATGTACAATAGCCCTATAACAAACTTAAAACTTTCACAAAAAAAAGTTGACCAACTCTATGAAAGTAATACTATTTCATGGATCTATTTCATATTGACATGTTTACACGAGAAAAGACCGAAAGGTCACGCATGCGTAAAGAAGAAGATCTCGCGAATGCTAGATCTACTCTTCGCAAAGATAGTTTTTTTCTTAACACATGAACTTTTAGTCCATTCATTTATTACTTTATTAAAATTAACCTTCAAATTTTGTGTTTCAAAAGCATTTTATATAAATTCGTTCCCTACTGCTGTGACTTTATCCGTCTCGGCGTACATTTAAAAGACATTTATGGTATCGCGCGCTTTTTGCATTAGACATTAAGGAAAGATCACGCATGCGCAGAATAGAATATCTTGCGAAGGCTAAATGTAAATGAGGCTCTATATAGGGCAGGATTTAAAACTGTTCAATATACATAAATGTGAGGTGTTTATTTTGGTGTTACCACCTACACGACAAACTCCATGTATTACCTTGTTGGTGTTACCACCTACACGACAAACTACAGGTGGTACCTTGTTGGTGTTACCACCTACATTACAAACTCCATGTATTACCTTGTTGGTGTTACCACCTACACGACAAACTCCATGTATTATCTTGTTGGTGTTACCACCTACACGACAAACTCCACGTGGTACCTTGTTGGTGTTACCACCTACACGACAAACTCCATGTATTACCTTGTTGGTGCTCTTATCTTTTTTTTACGTTTCTAAAACTGATTGAAGCTGATTGACACAAACACCTCGAGACATCTGCATAAAGAAAAGAAGACATCTAGTTGACCGCACCGAATGACACGTAACCTAATGACCCCACTACTGGAGGAAAATGGGTCCCTGCTGGCAATGTTTTCTTCCTTTTTAAAGTATTCTATTACACTTGAAGCAAATCCTTATGTAAAGGACTGAAATTAAAATGTAATCAGAGGCTATTGAGCCGGCTGTACAGAGAAATCCTCGCTATGGAACAATGGGAATAAAGTGGAAAGGAAAACACGCCTACAAGAGAAACGGATTTTGTTGTTTTTATAGCAAGAATGTGACTGCAGACTGGAGTGAGAGACATTGCAGGAAGAAGTTGTAGGGGAAACTAGGAGGATGAAGAACCCTTGATAGTACAAGTGGAATGCAATGATTTAGAAAGATCAACAAATCCAATGCAATTGTTTAGAACAGTGGTTCTCAAGCTGTGAGTCGCGACCCCTTTGGGGGACGATTTACAATTTATCAGGAGACCATTGAAAATCCGTTGTTTTTGTTGTTGTTTTTTTTTGGTCCAATCTAGCATGTAGAGCTTGTCACGTACTCAGTTTTTTCCATCGGAAGTTACTATTGTTATTGTTATTCAAGGATAGATGCTGCATACATCTGAATCAGAATTGACTTCAAACATTTTAATTGTCGCAGAAGAAATACTTTTAACAGTTAAAATTGAAGCAAAGTGAGGCATAACGCATTGTCACACCTGGTCGCGTTGTACCGAGACCAGTCGTCATAGAAGGCCTGAACACTGACTTGCAACGTAGCAACCTGTGGGCAGTGGAGACCAATTACTCGTTGTCACGTCAAACCTAGCGTCACCAAATCTATTTTTCTAGTCACCAAATGTTATAATGCAAAACAACAACAACAACAAACTTTTCGTCATAAAGATTTCATTCGTAATTGTAACTTCTAGAAACAGTTGAGGCCTTACACTTGCATGGCCTTGCAAAGACATAATACTAATATCAAGATGGGGACATTGTATTGAAGAAATGAATAGAAATTTAAACACTTTCATAATGAATATGTGTCTCAGTAAACTTTAAGTCCAGATAAACTAATACTAATACTGATGCTGACCAAATGATAAGTTTGTACGAATGATAAATGTGCTACCTTTATAATAATTTGGTAGCAACTTTTTTGGTGGTCAACTTTTTCATTGGTCATTTTCTAGTAAACTGATCCGTGTAACTACGTTGACCATTGCACTGGACAGATAACTGGTTTCAGTGTTGGCTGGATGTCAACTGGACAGGAAGAAACTCGTCATTCCATTGAACATATACAGGTGTAACTGAGTTTGTTTTACAATAGCTCTATTCAAGTCAGAACTTCATGGAAGTTGTGTGGGTGGCTGGGGGAACTGAACGCTGATTTCAGAAACAGCTCTAATGATTTTTCTAGAAATTTAACAGTTGCTTTATATTGCCGAGAAAAGAATTACAGGCTCGTTGGCGACACGGGAAAAACTCTAGCTTTATCATTTTTCAAGTAAAAAAAACAAAAATGAAAGCAAATTTTGCTTGAATAGACTTGGAATTAATTAGATCTAGAGCCAACATCAGTTTTGAAAGGACTATCACGTTCTTGAAAGGAGACTATCACGTTCTTGAAAGGAGACTATCACGTTCTTGTAAGGAGACTATCATGTTTTTGAAAGGAGACTATCACGTTCTTGAAAGGAGACTATCATGTTTTTGAAAGGAGACTATCACGTTCTTGAAAGGACTATCACGTTCTTGAAAGGAGACTATCACATTCTTGAAAGGAGACTATCACGTTTTTGAAAGGAGACTATCACGTTCTTGAAAGGAGACTATCACGTTCTTGAAAGGAGACTATCACGTTGGAGAATGTCCTAATGTAAGATTTGATAGATTCTAGAGTCGAATACATTCATGTTCAAGACAATTGTGCACCTCGTCGTCGTAGTCTAGATCTCAAAGTCTATCAATGGAATAGTATAAAGTGTAATATATCTATACTTTCGCTTAACCAGGAGGAGTCTTTCTCGAGGGGAATGGGGGGGGGGGGGGGTAGAGGGTGTAAGAAAATAATGTTCATTTCCTTTTTAATGTAACATTCATTAGTCAATTATCATTATCATTTTTTTATTATTAAGGGAAAACAATCGCCCTATAAGTTGGATAGAGGAGGTATTGTCATTTCAAAAAAGTATTTTTAATGTTTTTCTTGTTTATTTGATGTCCTGGTAAAATGGTCCTCTTGCCTCTTGGTCATTTGCCTTTGACTCTAATATTTTTTCTGAAAAAAACTGAAACCTGCCTTTTTACCTGTCATTGTGGACCAC